ATGTTTTTGTGTTGTAAGTTGCTCAGAGTATTTTGTTTCTGGAGGTGCCATACACAAATTTTAAATGAAACAAATGAAAACATTTAACATTTAATTGAATTCAGCAGAACTAACTTTCATATAACACATACGGTAAATATTTGGATAAATAAGTCTCTATTCCCTAACTATCCAAAGCCAATTTGTTTTTAATTATTTTCTTTCTTTCTTTGTAATATGGATTTCTTTTTAAGAATGATTTCAGAGAAAATTGCAATTAATCAAAAGCAGATTAATAGCACCAAAACAATCTACCAGTTGATTAAAAACAGAAGCAGCACAAATGGGCTCTTAAAGGAATGCCTGAAAAACAATGTTTCAATTAATAGAAATAGAATACAATCTACAATTTAATTTATTCACCAATCCTAAGATTTGGGATAGACACAGAAAGAAACAATTCTCCAGTAGCAGCCAGAAGCTGCTTTGAGGACTCTTCATTCTTAGATCTATGATCCTCATTTGCCCATTGTGCTTTTCATTGTAAACCTGTTCCTTACTGACATCACTCTGCAGATGTCTGCAGATGTAACAATTTTTTTCTTCCTGCAGATGGTTAGGTGCCGCCACATTAGGCTTGGCTCCCAGTGACTTCATAGCTAAATGCTGTGTTAAGTGTTAAAATCCACCCTTGCAGATAGTCATACTTAATTCCTGACTTAAGGAAGCTAATGTCATTTGAGTGAAGTTGGCAGAAATGGGGATTATCTAGAGCAGGGGTGTCAAACTGCCGGCCCATGGGCCGGATACGTCATGCTGAAACCGCGCCCACCCCATTGCAGGCAATGGAAAAAAAGTTGTGATATGTTGCGACACGTCACGTGACGTTGCGAGTTTGACACCCCTGCACTAGAATATAAACTGAGAGCAAACCACACTGGCACTGATGAGGTTACCTAGTTTGGCAATGAAACATCTGGAAGAAAACAACCAAGCTCAGAGAGCATCAAGGACCCAAACAGTTCATTCCTGAGCTTAATTTCATTTTCCCTTTGCTATTAGATTAGTCCTGAAAATTTAATGCCTAAGCTAGGCTTTAATATAAATCCAAAATATAGGGCTATAGTTTTGTTTTAAAATATTCTATCTTCTGAAAAAACTATGACTTATTACCTCAGAAGGAACCACAGAATGTCAGTGCACCTCAAGGAATTCTGGGGAAAAAATCTGGGTTTCCAGTGTTCCATGTGAATGAAAAGGATGACCTAGAACAGTGGTTCTCAACCTTTTTAATGCCGCGACCCCAACCGGTCGTAAGTCGAGGACTAAACCGGTCGTAAGTCGAGGACTAAACCGGTCGTAAGTCAAGGACTACCCAACCGGTCGTAGGTTGAGGACTTTCCCTGCCCGGGAGCGCCGCGCATATGTGGTTCCGCCCCCTGCGCCGGCCGAAGCGTAGCTGGCAAGCGGCAGAGATGGAGCAGGCCGACCACCAGCTGGCACAGCCCAAGGGAGGTAAGGCACCCGCCGGAAAAGGGAAAAAAATGGACAAAAAAATGGCAGACAAAAAAAATGGCGGACAGCCTTGCTTGGCGACCCCCGTGAAATGGTCGATCGACCCCAAATGGGGTCCCGACCCACAGGTTGAGAACCACTGACTTAGAATAATCCCCCATCCTTTAAAGAAGGATGAGCAATTGTAAATTAATCAGTTAATTTCACTTTAAGCAAACTTATTTACTAAAATGAAGAACTTCATCATGGACACGAAGTTTTATTTCATGTCTTATTTCCTTTAGAATTTCATTGGCAGAGTGGCGAATGTGGACTGTGATGGACTGAATTTTAAAGTTAATGCTTGGAGGACTACTGAATTGTCTCTACCCATAGATCACAGAATGGATGCCTGCCTTTGAAAGCTATGTTAATATAGTAAATTGAACAATTATTAGAATAATGATTTGTCTGCATAACTGCAATAATGATGTGTCTGCATAATTGCTAGAACAATGATGTAATGCATAATCACTGGGAAAATTCACTGGGAAAGTTCTCTGTCAGTAATATGTGGCAACCTAATGCGCTCTGCACATGGATACTTTGTATGTAGCAAAACCTTCCA